TCTTATTCTAGTCATACGGACTTCGAGCATGAATCTGAATTTTGTTTCAAATTTATCCGAGGAATAGAACTCAGTTACCTATAGTTTATTGTTTGGTTCAGATGAATATCCCAATCTTTAATCATTTCAAATAATTCGATCGAGTAATAGATTTAAATTGACTGCGAGTATCTCACCATTGTCATTCACTAGAACTGTGGCTATATGTAACGGCAGTGAGATGCGTCCATAAGGGGACATTCAGCTGTTACTTAGACTCTTTTTTGCGAAAGATTATTTTCTAGATATTTTCGTTTGGTCTTCTGACTTTTATTTGAAAATTAAACTATAGCTGGAGATGATAGAGGTGTCGAAAAATATTTAAGTTTTTCTGAGTATAACTCCTTGGAATAAAATTTTTAAGGGAGACAAATTTCTTTTTGTGATATGTAATTTCCAAATAAAGCGCAAGCCGAAACGGATGATGAATGTTCATTTGGCATTGGCATGATACTTAATATCAGTGGTATATTATTGGTTTTTATATGATCAGTTGATCCTGGAGTTAGATGTTTAACTAATGGTGCTGTTGGTGCTACTAATAAGTCTGGTTTATCTTTATTTGGATCAAATACATAATCACGAGCATCCGTTTCAGAATCAGGTGTTCTTTTTGTTAATACTGGAAGAAGAAAAGTTATTTGATCGTTGCCGAAACATGACATTCGTTTCGAATGAGATTTCTTATGTTGTCGGTCAGCAGCGGCTGCTGTGGCATGTAAACGACGTTTGATTTCGTTTTCGATTTCTTCAGATAGATACAAATCGCCAATTTCTATCAATATACTTTTAACATTAACATTTAATCTTGTTTCCAAAGTGGCATCTTTTAAATACGGATCGTATTGAATGAATGCTTTAATATCAAATGTCAAACGTCGTATCAATCGATTACTAGCTTTGAATTTTCGTCTGACTGCTTTTTGTTCCTGAAGATAAAAAGATAAGATTTTCATGACACAGGCCTTTGTTTATTATCCTTAAATTCAGTTTTTAAAGATGATTCTTCTTACTTCTTGTGATTTTGTAAACGCGTCTCGAAGTTTGTTCATAAAGACTGCTGCACGTTTGGGGTCTTTAAATAATGGAAATTTCTTAAATAAAAAAGCTATTGAAAAATCATACAAAATAAGAAAGTTGTTGTTTTTCCTGAAAATATGTGTACTCGTCTGATTTTTTTCTTTTGTACAGATGTTCGAGCCAGTTGTGCATTTTTTTCCAAATTAAAATCATTTTCTTTGTTTCTGCTATTATCATCATCACCAAACTATAAATAGAATGATTATTTTCGTTTATAAACAAGCTTTATGATTTTGGATAGATCTCTTACTCGGCTTTCGATATCACGAAATCGTCTTAAATCATCTCTTTCACTTTCCACCCTTTGAGCTGATATATCATCCTATAAAAAACACAGTTTAAATCAAACTCTTGTCTGTTTTAATTATACCGATAATTTATTACTTCAAAATCAAATGTTATAGAAGAGGTTGTAGCAAGTTATCGATTCTGTTGTTGTGCTTGTAATGATGGTGGCGGGGCCGGTTGAATCTTTGAATTAAATAAATTTAAAAATGAAAAATAATCGAGTGATTTATCCGATTCACTTACAAATGGATTGATTAATAATGGTACGAAATGAGTCGGTGCCCAAAATTCAGTTCTCATTCCCATCTGAACTTGTGCTCTCCAGACATCAACCGGCATACCGCTACACCATAAAATATTGATTGTGATGTTTCGTGCCGTTCTACGTGGATGAAAAACATGATTCATTTGAAGTGATTGAGTGTTACCCGCTTCTCCTCTTTCAGACACTGCATCGAGAATTGGATGAATTGATCGAATGCTGCAGTCTGATACATTGCACAAGCCAAAAATGTCCCATGGCTCGCTTCTCGCATCAAGAAACATCATAACTTCAGTAATATACTGCTTGAGATTGTCATCAACATGAGCATAGATGTTTTTATAATAAGTAAAATTGATTATCAATTCGATTAAATTTCGAACTTTGAGTTCTCGAATCCATTCTTCGTTTGATTTCTTTACTAACTCGGCAATACTATTGTACAAACAGTTGCCATCGCCAATTGTGAAAGCTGCCAAGAAATTTACATCGGCTGGCAGTAATCGAGCACCGGTTTGCTCAATATTATTTCGACATAATTCATAGTATTCTTGGGCAAGGTCATCAAATACCTATTTGGTTGAATCCCAATATTCATAAGGAGTGAATTCAAATGACCACTTAACTAATGCTGACTGCAGTGTTCCTGCTATCTTCTCCAGTTCTCTCCAGTTATGTTGTACATCTTGAAATTTTGCCGGACTTGTTTCGAAAATGCATTTCTGTTCAATTTGTCACATTCGGCACATAAGTCATTATTTTGTTTATAATGTAGCTGGCACAAAGAACAAGACCTTGTTCTCTAAATAAGAAAAAGATTTTTTATTCTTTCTGTAGAAAGGAAAATTTTTGTCGTTAAGATGTTATTTTGTCCTGAGAAAATTAATCTCTTCATGTGTTACAGCCTCTTGTGAAAAACGCACTAGTCTGTTTTTGTAAATTAACCGCTCTCTCCATTAAAAAAGATATAATTTTTTTACTTGTCCTTACATGATTTTTTTCGGATAAAATTAATAAGTTTAAAAGTTTCTAATTTTCTATTAAAGGAAAGTAAAATGAGAGTGATCAGAATGAAACAACTTGTGCTTCTGAAACTATCTTCGCTTTATTTTTATGTGTATATTTAAAATGAACTGAATGAACGTGTTCGAGGTATAAGAAGAAAAAACGGAGTTTAAGATTTTTATCTCTTTATCATTAATGTTTTTAGAGAGTCTGTTTACTTTTTTCGAATCAATCAATCAAGCAAAGGAAGGAGTCAACTTCTGATAAATTTTTAGAACTGTTAAAAAGTTTATTTCTTCGAGACGTGATGTTTTTTTAAGAAAGATGAAAAAATATCTATCAGATGACCCCCTTGTTTATTTTTGCCGGTTCAGAGACTGATTCTTTTCCCTAAAAAAATATCGGGCAGTTATTTGATTAAGAAAAACTTCCAATTTTTTTTTCGAATCAGCCATGACTCTTTGTAAGGGCAGAAGATCACAGTCACACAACTCGATTTTGAATTTAGCTTGAGCTTCAAGCAGTTTTTCTCATCATGATACTAAGAATTGAATTTAATCCATTAATGAAACGGTCGATTAACATGCAAAAACTCCGTTCAATTTTTCGCTGGTCAGCTGAAATTAGGTTGTTAATTAGATAGAGCAGTATCATTTTGTTTATCTTCATTTCATGGACCTCCCTTTCAAGAAGATCTTGTTCCTTCTCTAAAATATTAAGTTCACACTTTTATCATCGATTTTGGATGATAAAAGTGATTACTACTTCTATCTGGATGACACTATTTTTAACTTTCTTTTATTTTGTTTCATTTCAGACGCTAGTCTTTCAATCACTGATTAAAGTACGGTGATAATTAGGGATGTGCAGTTTCAGTATACTGAACACCGACAGAACGGACAGTGACACCAGTGTAACACTGGCTCTACTTTCATCGGTGTTCATTGACACTGTGACTACACTGGCACTGACATCACTGAAACACTGACTTATAGTCTCGTCGGTGCCCACTGACACTAACTGCATTGGCACTGACGTCACTGAGACACTGACTTATACTCTCGTCGGTTTTCACCGAAACTGATTACACTAACACTGCAACACTGACACACCGGTGCTAATGTTCTTTGATTATAGTTTATATACAGAATACTACGACATCTTCCGGATGAATGCGCAGAAAATTACATTGGATGTTTGCAAACTAACTAAATAATTTCGTAGAGTTTATTCTAAAACTGATTTTATTCAACATTACGTTCTGTGAAGAACTGGAGAAATTATCTTGTGGTTACCATGTATGTATGCCCTGGATATTGCCTTTCTATCGTTTCCTTCTGTACATCGTATTATACGTTTAGAAAAGAGAAAGAAGTAGCCGATTCTTTTTCTCCTGATTTCATTGTTTCCTCCGACGTGTTGTATTACGGAGTTAGAAAAGAGAGAAGAAACTACAATTTAAAAATAATATGATTTCCACATAGGTCGCAATTGTTCTTGAAGATTGTACAATCAATGATCAATCAAATAATCCTATCAATACTTATAATTCAAATGAATCAACTTCATTATCATGTAATGCAATAGTAAATAGTTACTGTTCAAATTTCGATTTAGCTGACATTTGTGAAGTTGATCATGAGCAAGAAAACAACAAAAACGATTTCAACTTGAACAGTAAAAAGAAATCATTTAAACGTTCGCATAATAAATCTAATTCAACTTTAACAAAAAATGTTTTGTCTGATAAAACAAATGACACAGGATCGACACACTCGTCTAGTGTGTGGCAATATGCAATACGTATTAATCCTTTGGCGACGGGGAGCCCATATATAGGCAAATGTAGCGACACTCGTGTAACTCAAGAATCATAAGAGCTAATGACTTCTAATTTTGTGTGATCATAGCTCTTACTGAATGCTGATCATCCACTAACTGTGGGTCTCTTTTACTGGATGGTTCGCGAGATATAAATGATTTATTTCTTTTCCGTAAAATATCAATAGTTCCTCATCTACGAAAGATGAAAACTTTTTCTTTTTGCCAAAATGTAGCCACGACTCTACTCTATCTACGATATGAATATCGTGAGTTGGCAGTTAGTAATCAGTTAAATACAGCTATTTTACGGGCGAGGTTCGAGGTTTTTTGTTGAAAAGTCGAGCTCCTTTGCGAAAAAAAATTCACAACTCAGTCTAGGAGCATCATTTTGACTTCAAATTCACATCAAAGACTCTACAGTGTCTGTAGATTATCTAGCTAAAGTATGAAGATTAACTATTGTGTGCTTCGGAAATTCATTGAGAACGAGCACCCACGATTGAAACATACGTATGATGAATACAAATAATGAATGGGTTGTCTTGAACCAGTTACATTCGGTCTTAAAACCTTTTTTTCATGCAACACAGGTGTTGTCTGGTAGTCAATATCCGTCAATAGGACTTGCTTTTTATTTTCTCATACGTTTGAAAAATTTTCTTTAACATCATGAAAAAAACGAAAGCATCATAATGAAACGTTTAAAACAATTATTATTAGATCAATTTTTATTTTATTTTTGAAAATGATCAAGAATAATTGAAACTGAAAGTGACTATTACTTACAGTATTCTTGATCGTTTTCGTAAATTTCATTTGAAAAGCATCGTTTGCATTATAAGTTGCTGTTAAAAAGCATTATATAATCAAGAAAAACAGGTGCTAAAACTAATTTGTCAAACGAGCTGAACGATAATAGCTAGTTGAACATTTTTTTTTCAAAACTATTTAGTTATGTGATTACTGTATAAAAACCACATTGGATAGTATCCGTAATACGAATGTAATGTTATTCTTTCAAGCTATTAGTAGAGGAATAGCCCACGATTGCCGAAGAATTCAACAACCTAATATGCCGGTACTTAGAAATAGTGTGCTGTCTATCTTTAATTCGAATAGAAATCAGAATTTTTTAGAAAATTTCGAATTAAAATTTCATTTTGTACAGATAAAATTTATTATTTTTTGCCTAAAAAACTTATAAACGCCCTTATTAGCTCTAAAATTCGTGAGTAATATACCATTTTGTGCCTTTCTAGTTTCATTCTTACTTCGATCCAGCTGGATTTTCAACATTAACTGATCAAGAGAAACGTATAATTGAACAAAGTATTAAAGCGATGGTGGCGGATAGTAGTTTTCAATCGAGACAACTGCATCACAAATTAACTCAATCACAACCAACGGATTTAACAAATCAAAATCACTTGAAAGATCAACGAAGAGTGCAATGGATATGTTTAATGAATCTATTGGTGAAGATAGTTATGCGGAAAGTGTGGTTGATGAAAATAAAAAAGCAACAATTATTAATGATATGCTAAGTTATCGAAGATATGCAACACAATTTAATTTGAAACATAAACCAGATGTAACATCAGCAATATTATTTTGGCAATCGTTTGCAGGACAATTTCCAGTTTTAGGAAAACTAGCAAAAAGAATGTTAAGTACCCCTGCCTCTTCAGTACCTAGTGAAAGTTGCTTTTCCATGTCAGCCTTTTTAAGTAAAAAAGAACGCTCACGTTTAAGCGGTGACAATCTGTCATCAAGCGTCTTAAGATAAACTAGACTTTTGAAGTCCATGTGGTAGTTTAAGTTTTTTATCTTATTATGATTTTCTTATATTTCCGTTTTTGCTTCTTGAAACTTAATCAAATGGTTCCTTATGCAAGTGTTCTATATTTCACTGCTACCCATAATTGTTTCTCATTTTAATATATGTCGTTAGTTTCTTCTGTCTTTCATATATTTAGAAGAAGAAGTCTTTTTTTCTCTATATAACTGTATTTCTTTTTCAATATTTGTATATTAATACGTTCGTTTTGTGAAAACTTTGTACTTCTTCACCTGCTTTATTGATGTCACCCTGAACTCATAATTAACGACATTTTCGTTCTGCAGAAGAGTAGATCAACATTTGGACTGAAAGATGAAGTTTATTTTCTTTCATTTAGCTTATTAGAGAAAAACATACGATTGAGTTTTAGATTAAATTGGATTGTGCAATTGATAAAATTTCTTAATAAGATTCTTTTATTCTGTATCAACAACAGAATTCTCCTCTTTCTTGCTCTTTCTGCAAGAAGAAGGAAAAAGAAAGGAGAGAGAATGATATTAATCTATATCTACGCATAGAAAGAATACAGTCTATGTCTACGTTCTACGCGTTCCATTCGAAAAACAACAAAATGAATCTTCGTCAAACTCAGCGTCCGGCACACTATTATCTACAGCTACACCAGGGTGACAGAATCTTGTGCTTGATTTAATGAAAGGTATGTAAAGTAGTTACCTTTCTGGAAGAACCTTTTTAATCTCTAATCTTGCACATAGCCTTTATTCTGAAATGATAGACTAGAAATAATGTAGCAACTTTTTTAATCGTTTATACTCTCGTAAATCTTCTGAGTTCATAAATTAGACTTGAGTGGACGGGGAGCTGACGTGGCCTATTTTTATAGAAAACCGTCGCTTAACCATGGTTCTTCAATTAACCATGAATTGACCGCAGTTTGCTATAAACCACCAATTAATAGCGATTAACCGCAGGTATTTTTGATACTGCGGTTTGGAAAATTAACCGCCAATTGACCGCGTTATTTCGGATAACCGACGGTTAATCGTTTTGTTTTGTGGTCACTATATGTATATAAGGACAATATGATTTATCGAAAAACTTCAGAATTGTTGTCCATGACTTCTTGAAGTGTGAACTTCGACTTAGTCTAAATATCTTTCGACCTGCATCCAAGAGTTTTGGCAAACAGACAGATACTGCTCAGTCCAAAATTTCATCGGTATGGACTTTGACTAATCGACAGCTTTACTGGATGAAACACATGAACACACACTCAAAAGAAAAATGAAAAAATGTTCAGAAGAGGATTTGCACTCATATCGCTAGCTCAGGAAAAATACCGTCAATTAACCACAGTCAATCGAGCATTTTGTACCGGTTCGCGGTTAATTGCGGTTAACCGAGATTAATTGGCGATTTTTGGCTGATAAACATGGAAGTACTTAGTTAGCGAGATAATTTTGGGTGGTTGCAAGTTAATGGTTGTCCAGATTTATTGAGCCTTCCTCTCCAGATCTTTCATACTTATGTACCGAAAAACACGTTGCTGTTCGTCCTTTTTTCAAAAAATCTGCATCTGTGAATCCTTCTTTTCACCAGCCAACATTTTTTTTTGATCAATACTATATCGATGATCATATGTCGAGTTATCTTTTACAGTGTATAAATATTGTCAACTGGAGTCCTACATGAGTGGAGAAAACTAAGTAACCCACATCCTACCTCGACCGACGTTTGGAACCTGATTCGATCCGCGTCGAATCAGACTCTAAACTGTAGGTACTCGATTCGTAGGGTTTGAGTCGAATTTCAGGACTTTGTCAGGAACAAATATGTTCTCGAACTGTGCACATTGTTGTATATAAAGACAAATTTTCAAGGATAAGCTTAAGTCTCTGTAACAAAAAATGAAGTAAGTGAAAAACTCATTTTTTATTGAAAAGTAAAAATCAAGTTTATCATATTTCAAAGAACTTAAATAAGATCTGTAACTAGTTCTTTCAAAACAGGAAGAACACGGTGTTTTGGAGTATATCGTTGACGCGTCCATTTTTCTCTTAATTAAATTAGAAATGAATGTTTTTTTCTATTGATTTAGGTAGTTGCGATGATGGCATTCGACAAAAGAAAAAATAACCAACGACGAATATTTGTATTTAAAAAGAAATTTTAATGTAAAAGCCCTTTTCTCACTTGATCTTTCTTCCATTTAACTTTATGCTTTTTTTATTTATTTTAATTAATAATGCGATCACGTCCAAATCAAGAACTACTATCCATTTCAAAATAGAATGGCCGGTCAGTGTTGACCTTATAGCTCCTAAACGAAAGCCGATAGACGCCTGCGGTTTTTTGCATTCAAGGCACTCATATGGGGCAACGATACTGATGAAAGAA